TGATAGAATAAAACCATCTAGTTTCTGAAATTTCAGTGTTCTACGGGTTAAGAATCCAATGTTCACACTACTGGCTCATAGTTGAGAAGCGATGTTTGAACGAAATGTTTGTGCGTCGGTGGCATAGTGGTTAGGACTCTCGCCGACCATGCACATGGTCCGAGGTTCGATCCCCTGCCGACACGGACACCTGATATCTATGGTCGGCCTGCAAAATTTGGGCTACCGATATCCATGCTGAAAATTCCCTACTTGTACCAAAAATACAGTGTGGAATCAAGCTGTAATTAAAAATAAAAATAAATAAAAAACAAATAAATAAGTAAAGCATTTCAACACTTACCTTTGACATCAGTGAACCTAATGTAATAAAAACCAATTAATGTCTGCATTTTCATTGTTTTTTTCGAGATACTGTTTGACATCTTAGTGAGCGAATATAAATGCAACCAGAGTATAATTACCAAGTAATATGGAATATTAACTTTATATACTACCCATGTATACTTATGGCCTGTGTTACTGGCAAGATTTATCAGTAGTATATAAAGAGATGTTTACCGGCATTGAATAAACTGACTCTGCAGCTGACAAATTTGATAATCCACATATATTCCATCTGCTCTCGCATCTTCCCACCACTTCTATGGCGTGTGTCATCTCTTTGGCAACCTTCCTAACTCCTTTCATTGTCCGAATATTGCATATCGGAATGCTTGATTTCGCTCTAATTGGAAGAAGAAACATCGGTTGACTGGCTTCCCAAAGGTTTTCACAAGCCCGCGTCGTCCCACGACTGCAATTCCAGTGAAGATTAAGTTTGTGTCTCATTTTTTCTAGTGCTTTGAAGTTTCTGTGGCGATCGAGTGAAATTTCGGCAATAGGATTGGTAACACCACACCAATGCTTCATTTTTTTTCCAGGACTGGAGAACTAGTAAATTTGGCGAGGTTCACAGTTTATATAGCCTCTCGAAATTTCACAAATAGAGCGTACCACTGCTCCAAATCTTGTTATCAGTTATATCATGCCATTGCTGAAAGGTTCGCAGAGATTTTGGTGTCTGTACGAAATAATCTTATTAGCTACAGAATTTCAAATTCATTTGAAATCGTTTAGTATAGTAAGTGGTTTTAAATTATTCGGTAAGGGATTGATACGTCTAAATGTTACTTCTCCCTTCACTATTGCTTTTTATGCAAATTTGTCGAGAACAATAATTTAGTAACTTCATACATGTATTGGCCCTTAGGAATTTGACTAAAGCAAGAACGACAGTGTGTGCAGAATAAGATGGCACAATGGTAAAGCGATACTTAATAAAGACAAGAGTTTGATGCAAAAAGTTAAACTTAAGATGACATAGGCGTGTTTACTCAGTAGAATTACTTTTTAAGTGGATTTTTAGTGTTTAGTTCACTGATACACTACACTCATAAGTTACAGAGTTGCAATGAGGTTGCCACTGTATCCTCTACTTGCAAGTTTCTTTTTGTAATGTATAGGAAATAATGTGTTGCAAGCTACTGTTGAAAGTTTCTATATGTATCAAAGATACGTGGATGATACTTTCATTATGTATGAAGTAGGTGTTGACATCGAAATAATAATGAAAGAGCTGACTAACTCCCACCATTCCTATTAAGTTCCCATCGGAATCAAAGAAAAATTCTGAATTTCACTTTTTGAATGTTTTATGGTAAATGAGACTTGAAGAGGTTAGGCCGAGAGAAGTAGACTCCAGAAAATTTGGACTAGTGTGTCAGCATTTCGCCGCGTGACTTGTTCTTTATTGATTATTTAATTTGTTTTTTGTCAACATGTTTATTGAATAGAGATATGTCATCTAGCACATGATATAATACACACAGTAGAAGTTGAGTGATTCATTGGAACGTGTGCAGAACTAACCAATAGTAATATGCGCAAGCGTACGACATGTCAGTTGTTTACATCAGTGCGGCACATTGTTGATAAATTTGCACTTAGTCGATATCCATACAAAATTAACACAAAGATAATGAAGCTTATAAACATCATAAGTCACAGTCAAGCAACTCAAGAGAGACATTCATATAATTCGTTGGGAATTCTCATAAAGCTGGCTTCACTTTGAGGTAAGTTTTGTAGATGGTGTCCTAACTATGAAAGCATCTCAATTACACCATTCGATTTGGAAAATGCAATCACATCAAAATGAATCAACTATTTTGACATTTGTATTGGTGAATTCATATAGAAAATGACTAATTATTACTGCATAGAATAGCTAGCTCTCTTTGCATTGAATGGAATCTATGCTGATTCATGTGATACTGTGTACGCAGAGTAATTTAATGCTGGGTGTTGCGTGCCAGTCAAAAGAGAACACGATTGAAGTTATCGTCGTACAAAATATGTCTTCACTAGTGTCCATAGATTTTACACGGGACAATAATAAATACCACATTACCCAAATTTTCTTTTATTATTCCTGTCTCCATTTTCGCATGTAGTTGAATTGATGGGCAATTCGCGACACATTGACTTCATTCCTCCAACGAATGGTCAAACTTTTTTCTGCTGTTGTACATATTTGGTACGATGAAGGCTGTTCACATTTCGCAGTTAATATATTTGTCTCCCCTTCTACACTGCAATATTACAACAACTCTTATTTCACTTTATGTTTCTGAATACAGAGATAAGATGGGGTCACCAGTTTCCCTGCGTATTTTAACGAATAGTAAACACAGTTGAACTAAGAAAATCCGCTAAACTACATTTGTCGACCATGGATTCATAAACCATCAGCCCGTTTTGGGTTCTCATAAATTTAGCAAGTAATGACTACCAGTCACAAATTTTCGCAACATCATTTTGATTCCTTTGCACACCTTAGTTATTGAATACTGTTATTAAGCCAGCATTTTTTCACAATCAGTCTTAATAAAAAATGCGACAAAGCCTCAATAGAATGTATTACCTCTGGCAATAGCTGCTGGAAGGAGAAACAGAAAGAAACTAGATGTTTACATATTGAGAATATTTACACACATGAGGAACAGTAGCAATGATCGGACTCAATAAGATAGAAACTAGGTACAAAAGCTAACTGGATGAATAAATAACAAGTGACTTATTTACAAAGTCTGAAATGATTCATCGCAATACAATATTTTGAATGAACTCAACAACAATGAGAATATAGATATAAACGAATAAAGAGATACTTTATAAAGGCATCTTCAACTAATTTACATGTATACTATGTTGTTCACAGATTCGTAAACTGTGGTAATATACAATAAACATAGAAGAAAAAGTGGGAATAAACTCACTTGAAAATCTGTGTTCCAAACCAAGATTCTCTGATTACAAGCGTACAGGGTAAACTTAATGTATAAAATCAAATGATTGGAATTCGCATCTCTTTATGCTGGATAAACTTGCCTTCTTCAATACATTAAATGAGCAGTGTTTGTGAATGAATCTCCATGATGTATAGAACTTTATATGAATTTTTGCGGGTAATCGAAGAAAAATGTGAAGCTACGGAGTGGATGAAATTCAGAGACTGACAAAGGAATTTTATTGAAAAGGAATATATCTACTTATTAGGTTAATCACTGATCCATTTAGAAAAATTGAATGTACGCGCTATACTGACTAATATTTGATGATATAATCCCGAGAAACTGATGAAATTTATTCGTATAATAATTCTCATCATCCACATGACAAGAATAACCAATGTGTTGTGCCACTATCAAGTATTCAATTGGCCACTTTCAGTAAATTTAGAAGAGATACTTATTTTTTAATGTTGCATGCAATACAAAAATCATCATTATTCACAGTCACAAAGTTTCATCATAATTTCGGCATTACTTTGATTATTGTTTCATAAAAATACTTTGTAAGCTGCTGAATAATACAAATCAAGATGAAAATAGCTGCTTCCAGGCTAGCAAAAGCCGCATGATATCGCTGTAGTGATGCCGCTTGGTTTTAGTTGGTCATATGAACTGACCATTGTTTAAACGTTGATTTTCAGAAGTGGTTGATTTGGTTAAATGGAAATACATGTACCACTAGAAAAAATTAATCTTGAATACCACAGGTCTATGTTAACAATTCTTATTTGTTTTTGAATTTATTTGTATTTATGTTGATTAATTACGTTGGAGAGAAATGCTTATTCTTTGTTTACATGTACGCTTCTAGTACGGACGATTAGACAATCACTGAAGATTAACATCATGATGTTTCAGTTAATGGTAGCTAGAAATGAAGTCCAGGATGCACATCTCGTCCTATTTGGAACTCAGAATCCCCAGCGAGTGACAGCGTTCCTACTGCAATTTAAACTCTGAATTCACCATTTCAAATCAACAGCAGTTATAACAGTTTCAAGTTGTTATATTATGGGTATTTCAGATATTTTCAATAGCAATAGAAAAAATTAGATATGTGGACAATTCCTTTGAGGTACTCAGTGAACGTCGTAGATGGTAGTACTGGTAGGCGTAGGATCAAAATGTCTTCTATTGAAAACTATGTGTATTTGCTTGCTCATAGCTACTATACTGTGTTTCGCTATAGCTATTTAAAATGTCTCAACAATCATAAGTTGTAGTCAGCTTCCTGCAAGTCATTCATTATCCGACTTTAATTTTTTTCTTTAGTACTTTCGATATAGTATTTGTAGCAGTCGAGTTATTTACGATTGAAAACGAATACATTATGGATTAAGAAAATATTGCTAAAGAGCACCAGTTCTCTCATCTTCTAACTTATTCATTTGTCGATTCACAGACATGAGGATAAAAGCAACTTTAGACTATGTTCGATAATGAAACGTGCAAAAGAGAAAAAGACAAACGGTTCAACAAGGATATGTTTTAATGTCAGTAAAAAGTTTGAGCATTGTGGAATAGATCAAATAAAGTATAATTATATTTCAATGGTTTACACAATGATAAGTTTTGTTACTGGTAATATTTCGAGGAAAATTATCAATAACAAAACTTATCATTGTGTGTAAACCATTGAAAGGATATGTTTTATTCTCAGAAGCTGTACGGTCGCAATCTGTATACATAGATCGCTCCAGAAGCTTCGTTTCAAAGCAACTTAGAGAACACTACCAGGTATGACTGCAAAGAAGTGGCACTGGTTTTGTCAGAAGCTCAATAACTGAACACTACATCAACACCTGTCACAACATCTCAATAGACTCATCATTCAGAAGCAGAAATCTACCAAAGACAGTGTGCTCTAAACTTCTCTGTACTGCGGAAACCCTCTTCATTTGAATCAAGCCGGACCTGTGTGCTCCAGATAAGCTAGTTTGACCTTTACATAAAGCATGGATCTAGTCTCGTTCAGTGCCTCAGTTGTATTTTTTTCATTTCAGCTATACTTTTTCATTTTTCAGTCATAAAAGCACTATTTCAGTTTGTTTTGTATACAATAATGTTAATACATGTGTTCTTTAAAAACTATTTTACGTAATATGCAACTATTTTCAAATCAATACTTAGGTTTCTATACCTCTTTCATCACACCAGAAAATTTTCATATCAAGTTGAAAATTATTATCTCTTCTAATCTCCCCTCGTTACTGTGCTGAATTAAATAATAATTATAATTATGTGGACTTAAGTATATAAAACGCGACTGTAGAGCTTTTGAGAATGAAATCTCTGAAAAGATATCCTCACCAAGTGTATAGGAATCACCTGTTATGAGCGAGAGGGACACTTAAATGCTACATTTAGGAGTTAACCATGTGATACAATTCAAAAAGTCGAAAACCCGTTGAGAAGACGAGGTATATGGTTCTTAATTTAGATGGATGGAACTTGCAAGAATATCTATACTAGAATGAATAGACAGTTTGCAATAAGTAGATGAAAAAAAGTGTTTTTGAATAAAGTTTCTTTTTGAAAGCATAGGCATATTTACCCAACATTTCATAAAATATACACGAATATCTTGAAACATTTCAATGGATTATTAATCGGTTGTGATTTTATGCGGAACCTTTTGTATCCTCAATCTGTTAACCACCTAGTCCAGAATCAATAGTAAATTCGATATACATTTACAATCAGAAAAGCCGACTGATATGTAGTCCTCTATAGAGTTCATACTGGTATCGCACTTGCAGTATATTAGATGATCAAAACGGGTACTAGGTTCGAGCCTCAATGGGAACACCATCACTCACTGGAGAATGCGGGTACATCCAGAGCACGAGTCTCATATAGGAGAAAATGTGCATGCTGGATTCCATTACTAGTCGCCATCCACCAAACTACTACAAGTTAATCCTTGGATATCATCGAAGTATCCACACCAGGAGTCGACATGTCAACAGAGGTCGAACATTTCGGTACAATCAATCAACAAAATTGCAAATCAACTTAGAAACAAATAACTGGAGGGTTGTAATAAACTTCATACCCAAATAACAAGTATTGTTAGAAAACTACCGGTAGCACAGTTAAACATATGACAGCACGATAAGTGTGTTCAATCTGAGCCAACCTAGTCCTGTAAGCATAGTCACTGATTTAACATAAGGGAAAAGATTTAATGTCTCTTCAGAAAACGAATTTACATTTTGCGAAATTTATTTCAGATTAAAATAGTTAAACAAATAATGACTACTCTAGGTGATCATAAGAATGATAGATACACCAAAAATTATTATTTTGAAGTGACAAAAATTTATATATATCATAACGTCAACATTAGATTACGGGCACTAAGAGTAAAATGCACCAATTTTAGTTACCACAATTATTAATTAGCCAGTATTTTCATGTGCCAAACCACCATGAGGTGCATTTAGCGTAATGAGGGCTATTGAAACTGAAATAAAAAGAGTCACATTCAAACCTACGGGCCACTGAAGCCAACAGATGAGGCACATCGCACAATAGAACATAAGAAAGCCAACAGTTAAAGAATCATTATATGAAGCTCAAAAATCAAAAGCATTAATATTAAATTGATCATTCAGTTAAAGACATGGACAAACATGTAACGTGAGCAACTGCATTTTCTGAGACAAGCCAAGCGAAATTATAAGATGGAACGTAAACATTAATCACTTGATGACATTTTGAACACGCAGTGTTTTCTTGAATCACTAATGACTGAGAAGCTTTAGGAAGGTCAAGAGCAGCTGGCTTAGTATTGTACTTAGTTAAAGCATACTCAAGATGAAGTTCTGACCACTGACGTAGTGTACATCGTAAAGCATTTTGTAAAAACAATCCTATTTCCAAAAGATTCCAACCAGGTGGCACACGAGATAGTACCTAGAAAAATTAGTTAAAAAACTTTTTTCAAGATTACAAAGTAATGGAAATGTTGACAATTGTTATTTTTCATTAACAACTTGCTTGAAAACTACCATTATTACACATTGGCATTTGATGAAAGAGGAGATACAACTACAACAACACACGAGATAACTGTTGCGAAGCAAACAGATTTTAACTTATAGTTTAAATTTGATTAAGCCCTAATCTGCGTCGCTGTTTCAAGAGTAGAATGCTGACTAGCCACACTCCTGAACCTCCCTTAGTTTACTAGACGATAGCAAACCCAGAAAAGAGGGGAAGTCGGCTATGAGGCTAGCAGACTCACCACTAGTGAAACTTCATCGCACGACCCCGTATATTTCACTCGGAATGCAACGAATGAATAACAAGTCTGAGTTCATTTATTGATATTGTGTGATATGGCATTGTATTCACCATTACTGAGTCTGTATGAAGACCATACCGCAGCCTACGGAAGGCGACATGGCGAGTCACGATGTGCGACTTTTAGGGCCTACCTTTTTTAAACCTCTTCTTCAGAGGGTGAAAGCAGCATAGTAGGTTTACTGAGAGTTCGAAAGAAACACCTGACACCCCTATTCATCAACAGTACAACTGACTAGTATCATTTGTCAAACTTACCTACTAATTCTTGTCATATATATATATATATATATATATATATATATATATATATATATATATATATACTTAAGTGAGTGTAATGTAGTCAATTTTTCCGAAAATGAATCTGGTTGTTGTTAGTTACATCAAACAACTAATTCAACTCACACAAAACAGCTTGGTGTTATTACAAATGATTGCATCACACAGTGATTGGTTGTTATGATCACTGATGTATCTAAAGGTGTAATCAGATTGTGCCTAGCATATTGGTGGGGTGAGGTGAATCACATATAACGGTGGTTTTCATTTAGCAGTACAAAAAGAAAAGAACAAGCAATACAGCAGGATTTGTTTAGCTTAACGGAACGAGTTCGAGCAATAAGAATCTTGATCCTTTAAAAAATTCACATTACATAATGAAATCTCATATAAAGTGGACAGATGAATCAATCTCCACACTGTGCTCTCAGTTATCTATGTATGAAACCAACAACAAAGTAAATATTTACTGAATAATGTTTGGTTTAAATGCTGATTAGTCCCATAGTCTTTCATTACGGTAAAAGAGTGGTTAGAAAGTACATCACACTAATGTAGGCACTCTAGCAGAGCCCACGAAACCGTATAAGAACTTACGGAGAGTTTTCATAGATATCAGCGATATACCTACAGTATATGACCCTAATCCACTTTAGGTACTTACGAATTGACTTGTGTCATTTGACACTGCTATTTTATTATGACTATAATTTCAGCTCATTTAATTGATCTTGGTATCCTTACTAACCAATTCATTCACCCATTCTTCTTAATTTATTTTGTCTCAAAAATTATTGCTTCTACTAAGTAACTGGTTTTGATTTCCATGATCAGTTATTTTCACCCAGCATAAACTTTGAAATAGTCGAAAAGTTGCTCATTGGATTATGTTCTCGACTTTCAGCCTGTGGACTCTGACTTCAACTACCCCTCCACCTACTTCAGCCTGGGGAACTAGGGAGTATTGTCAACCCTCACAATAAGTGTGGTCCTTTGACGCGTACATGAGACACTTCCTCCAGTTAGCTGAGTTCAAACACATCTCACAATCGATAATTCTTACTTACTAACAAATCATAACATGACTGGGATCATTTTGACGTGTTTGTTTAAAAACGTTCACATATTACTGTAGAACCGTGGATGATGAACAAAACTGAAAAGAGAACACATTTAATCATTTAGTTTGTTGGCTTCTATATCAAAGCAAACCTTTCCTTCAGGAAACGCATGTGTAACCTGACGTACAAACACATGTGACGAATTCAGTGTGTACGAAAAGGAGAAAATGCAGAAGAAGAAAAGAAAAAAAATTCCTAACCTTAGTGAAGTTGAATTTCACTTTGGAATTAGTCAACAGGCTTAAAATTATACCTTTGATAGCACAGGAATTATTTACATCAGCATCAAGTCTGTGTGAAACAAAGGGAAAAAAAATAAAATAAAGACGTTTAAAATGTTTTTTCAACAAAGGTAGAAAAAAATGAAAAATGTTGGTTATATTTTAATTACCTCTTCCGAGTGGAATCTTAGTCGAATGAGAGCAAAACAGGATGTGAAGATGATAGCAATCACAAGTGGAACAGATTTTCCAGATGTGTAAAAAAACAACGATAAAACACCTTCAAAACATATTATAGCCTCATAAATCGGTCAAAAACAACCAGACGTGACATTTTCAGTGATTACAGTATTCCTTTAAGTGTGTAATACAAAATCCCATAAAACTGTTCAATACAAACTATCCCTTCATTCTAGTATATGAAGGAGGCGACAACGAAAGGGAGGTAAATCTGTTTTGATGATTGTTTATGTATCCAACAGTAGTAATGAAGTGCATTTAAAAAAAAGTAGGGATAAACCCAAGCGATATAAACATACATACACCTGTTTATTGGTATAATCCATGCAGTTTTTAAGACATACTGACTATTTGAATGAGAAAAACTCATCAAGTAGAGGGAGACAGCAAAGTCCACAATCATCAATCACCGGTTGATGCAACGCGTATTTGTACAGTATATACTAACTAAATGTAAGAGCTAACATTCACTTTCAAGCTAGTTTAAGGTGTACAAAAACCAAATTTACAACTCAATAGTCTCGCTTATAAAAATAATATTGGTTGAGTAGAGAAATAATATGTTTGAAAAGATTATAAAATCGTACGAACAGAATAATACATTATTCAATAATACATAATGGGAACAACAATAAGTATGTAACGGCAGAAGACAAGGGCCAGGCAACAGATCGTTTATTTAGGAAATCAACAGATACTTATAGATTATTACAGATTATTGTTAGCAAACAAACACAGTCTTTTGATTGGTGGTTTCTCACTGAACGTTAATCTTTCATCTCTTTGTGGCCGTTTCTTGAAGTCCAGATTATCTACCTGCAAATCGTATCTGCCTACGCAAAGTCTTCTGTGGTTGGTTGTTGAATCTGTCTTTGTTTTTATTTTTCTCACGACCAATATTGGGGACGTAAACATCGACGTAAATTACTGTCTGTCAATTTGGATAGCAGCCAGCTCTCACCACAAGTATACACTCCTTTCAGATTTATGCAAGCTATTATAGTCTAAGAGTTTGAAAACTGTTCATCACATGTAAGGGACATTCAACAGTATCACTACAATTTCTGATTTATTCTGAAATAGCAAAGGACTATTTTTACTTTAAGCATTCGATGTTTAGATCAACAGTGAACAGTTTTGTCGAAAGTAAGTCAGTTAGAGTTATCACATTTTCAAAAAGTATACACAAAGGATACCACAATGATCAAATACGAATGTGATTGAGTAGAAGAAATAAACAAGGCAAATGTTGCTTTGAAGATGAATACATCTGAACGAATGCGAACAATCCGAACAGTATCACTAGTCGATTTGTAACTCCTTGTGAACATTAGCTATTCAACCCAAACCCACTCACATGCTAAACATATGACAATCAATCGTGCTAGTGGAAATCAGGATAAGAGCACCTAAGAGGTCAGAAGTGCATAGTGAACGTTAACAGAGTTTCTGTCCAACATTTCCAGTGGATACCACATTTTATCTAACGCAAAAATGTCGTTCGAATGCTTTAAGTTGCGTAAAGGATTCTCGTGTTAGAGACTAAACGCTGCAAAATCAGTGATAAAAAGTCATGTCTATGAATATGTTTTCAAAAGGTAAAATGATAATAGTTTCAGATGTCTCCAGCAAACACTGTGGCTTATTGTCATCTTAGAACTCTTCGCAAATTTAATGCTCACTAGTGACTGGCTAAAAGATAAAGTTGCCTGAAGTTCTAGTGAAAAGATGTGAACAGTAAAGTTCACCTAATTTGTTGTGAGGTCAAACACTCGTCATGACATTCACAGATGAATGAGCAGTGACATGTTGAGCCCCAAGGGTAACATCGAGCAGATCTTGTGAAGAGCAAATGCAAGCCTGTGGGCAATCGTAGGTCAGCTTAAAAAGGCTGCAGAGAATGAAAAAGGACAGAGATGTACTTCTGAAGTCCTGTATTTGACTGGGAAACCAAGGAGTGTATAATCTTGAATAAATCTAATTTTTTTTATTCCTCAACTTTAATCCCCTATTGTCTAATTAAAAGCAATGCTTTGAATGAAAAAAAGAAAAGTGACAAATGTCTTCATAATTCGATATTGATTTCAGTTATGCATAATATAACAATTGTTGGTATTAGATGGTTGGAGGCAATCGGCAGGAAGTCATAGACCTAGATTTCGTGCTAGTTGGCACTCATTAGCCAGGTGTATCCGCAACTTTGAACGAACTCATACCCCTTCTGAGATTCGAACCTGTGCCACCCAGTGATGCAGTCACAGACGATACCACTGGACTATTCAGGCTCGCGGTTGACCTCCGGTAGGACTGTAGTGGGTATTTTTGATTGGGCACTAGTCAGTAACTAGTGTAATATGTATGTCTCGTCCTATCTTTGGTGCAGACTGAATTCTATCAGTTCGAATCTCAGAAGGGACATGAGTTCCTTCGAGGTTGCAGATACACCTTGCTGATGAGTGCCAGCTAGCACGAAACCTAGGTCCAAGACTTCCTGCCGATTGCCCCAACCATCTAATACCAACAACTCACAGTTCGTCGTGATGGCGAGCCACCTAGAATGGTGGCCACATTTCAAACTCGACTGATAGAAAACAATCTGCATCAAAGATACAACTAGACAAATTACACTGGTTGCTGACTTGTGTCCAATCAAAATATAACCTAACAATATTTAAATGGCAAAATTTAATTGCTTTATGGCATTGTCATCAAATAAGAACCCTATTGTGTAAATATATATACCAGTAGATAATGATAAACACATATGTGAAACAACCTTCATTCTATGATGAGTACAATCAAAAAGTTTGAGAATTATTAGAAATTGTAAACTTTCCTAGCTTAACTGACTGAGTAGATGTATCTGTGCATAACAATTATTCACACAATTCTTATTCATAATATCATACTAGTGGGCATTATACATATGAATGATGATATATAGAATGATAGACAAATCTTTTTTCGAATACATTTGTTTCCCGATCGGTAGTGACTATCACTGGAATGCAGGATACGCATTTCGTCTTATCTTGTACGCGTCAACTGTTTCTAATTTCCCAGTGGTCTGGTGAGAAAACGCTTTGGCATTTGCAACGATGAGTGGTGGAGTCGGGTGTCACTTACTGGGCTTGTGGATACGGAATGATCCCAAATAGGACAAAGTGTGTGTCCTGAATTCCACAGCTAGGTACCATAAACCAAATAACATCATGAGACGTCGTGAAAGTGTTCATACTAGGAGCTGACATGCTAACAGAGACCAAGAGTTTCGATCCAGTATAACCAATCAATTTGCGCTGGGAAAAATTATCAGGTTTAGAGAAAAGATACATGCAAAAACAATCAGTAATCTTACTTATCAAAACAGATGTCAATAAAACTTGTGAATAACATTGAAGGCATTAATTGATTATCATAATTTCCTTCCAGCTGGATGATAGCAGGTGACCTTTTAACCGTGGAGCCATGCACCATTGCAGAAGCAATAGCATCAACATCACCTATTTTATGCTGTATAGATTGTTGACTAAACGTAAGACAATAGTACAAGGCAGCTTTATAGTCATTCATATCATTGATAAGATATTTCAGTGCTTTGTTATGATTATAAACCTAGCATAGAGAAGAAAGATGAGGTGATATGTGAAAAATTATCAGATAAGTGCATAAAGAAAAAAAGGAATGATAATTGAAACTAATCAATGGTTTATAACTTAGATTTCGGTTCACCTGCTGAATTCAAAAAACACATTCAAAATCTCTCTAAATTAGTCTCATATTAATATCCCAACCTTACTCAAAGCGCATATCAACTTTCTGAATTCAGTTAGTTGGAACGAATCTTTCACGTACCAGGATAGGATCAACTGGTATTTTGTGTGAGGACTGATGATACTACCCAGTGACCAAGACTGAAGCAGGTGGAGTCAGAGGCGTGGGCTTTGATAGTAGCCAGCATAAAATAGCATATCCTACTTTCTCACGAACTGCGTGATTTATCTTGCCATGGAGTTACTATTTCGACAGCGTGAATTCGCAGAAGCTGGAATTCATGGGTCATTGTATTAGGTCCCAATGACTTAGTGCTCTACGAGCTCGCCTTGCAACTGAAAGGTCCTTGGTTCGATCCCCGGTTGGCGCGTGCTTATGAAGAGTCTCAAACTAGTCTGACGAAACGGCTGTTCAGTACTCCTAGGTTTTCCAATGGTTCTGTAACCGATGTCAGCTCTAATGATCGACTAAACATCATTTGAAGCAATATTGTCTCATCCGAAGCATGCTTCAATACTTCTCAATGTTCCCCACCACCACCTAATTACCATTTTCTTCAAAAGAATTCATAGCAGTAGGTTTGAACTTACTTAAAAATGTGCATGAGTGTAGATTGTGATTCATAAACTTAATTGACTGATTAAAGCAATATGAAATGCAGTAAATGGGACGCATTTTATTGGATGGGATAGTTAATTAGCCCACTGCTTAGAGCCTATTTTGCAACATATGCCATTCTAAATTAACAGAAGTCACTTTTAGAATATTTTCAGTCAGAGATCACATACCATCACATCTGCATTCCGGATCTGTATGACGTGGCTCTCATGGTCCAAATGGTCTATTGGGAGAACGCTTTGATGTTTGTAGTGAAGGGTACTATATTAATATTATATATTTATTTAAACGCATAAAAAACTTGGTACAATATGGCACCAAGAAGGATGCGCCACACAATAATAATAAAACAACATAGATCAAAATAAAAAAATATATAAGTAGAGAACGGATAAAGAACTTCATCTGGAAGGAAAACGGTCATGCTTAACAAGTTCAAACAGTGTTCGTTAGCTGTCATCGGGAAGGGAAGAAAGAAGGAAATCGCAACACATTCGCCACTGATTACGATTCTTGGCCATATCCGATAACGTTTCGAGCCATCGATTTGAGCTATCTCTCGGACCCCAACCAGGGAGTCGTGACACACCAACCGATGCTAATCTAGCACAAAAATCCTTCATCCCACGACGCCACGTCATGGACTGACCACCTCTCCGCCTTTTCCATCCCGTCCTAGGGCTAGCGAACAGAGACCTGTACGGAAGCCTCTGGGATGACATTCGCAGCACATGTCCAAGCCACCGGAACCGGTGTTTCCAGATGACGACATTCAATGAATGGTGATCTCCACTTTGTTCAAACACACGCCGCCGAACCTCAGAATTACTCACGCGATGATGCCATCGAACGCAAGCAATCCTGCGGAGACAGCGGTGATCGAACACGCAGAGTCGCCGCACATCCTCAGCTCAGCAGGGAAGCCCGCACCGAAGCATTGTATACCCGACCTTTGACAGCCAGGCTAACGTCGCGACGGCGCCAAGGTGGCTCAAGTTGATGTATGCCACCCTAGCCTTCATTATACGGTTGGAAATCTCATCCGTCACCCCTCCGCCAGCACTCACACAACTACCCAGGTACACAAACTTATCAACAACTTCAAGCGGTTCACCCGCAAGAGTGAGTGCAGGTACAGGCTCCTGCCAATCTTGTAACAGTACTTTGCACTTAGACGGCGCAAAGCACATACCATACTTACAGACACTGATCGCCAACTGATTAAGTGCGATTTGGGCAGCCTGCACAGTAAGACGATATCGTCTGCATACTCGAGGTCGAAAAGTCTATCTCCAGGTAGCAGATCTACACCACCTTCACGCACATCCTTCAGAGCTGACTCCAGAATGTCATCGATGGCAAAGTTAAAGAGAAATGGAGAGATTGGGCAACCCTGTCTAACCCCACTGTTGGTTGGGATAGTTAGTTGTATGCCCTCACTCTACCTGAGGTGTTTCTGTATAGGGCTTTCAAGATGTTAACAAATTTCTCAGGTACACCTCTCTCTAACAGACAGTTCCAGAGCACAGTTCTGTCCAACGAATCGAAGGCAGCCCTAATATCAAGAAACACAACGATCGTTGGCCTGCAATACGTGTGGCGGTGTTCCAACAACTGACGAAGGGTGAACACATGATCAATGCATCCACGACCTGAACGAAACCCAGCCTGCTCTTCGCGAATCAATCCTTCACGTATTTTGCACAGTCTGCGAAGCAAGACAGCAGCCAATATTTTAGACGCGACTGGTAACAGACTGATACCCCTATGATTGTCACACGAATTACGTCGACCCTTTTTAAAGATGGGGACGATAATGGCTTCGTTCCACATTGATGGTACACTCTCTGTCTCCCACACCTTCCTGAACAACCCAGTTAGAGCCATTGTGAGAGTCTCGCCACCATCTTTAAAAAGAGCCGGGGGTAATTTGTCTGGGCCGGGCGCCTTATGGCGTTTCAAAACTTGGAGTTCCTTACGGACCTCCGCTTCGGTGGGTGGGTCGGTACTAACCGACCAAGGAGCACTCGGGCTAATGATAGTAGACACTGAAGCTGGTGGCCAGCTAAACTGCTTCCCGAAGTGCTCTGCCCAGCGTTCCAGGCGTCTTTTCAGGCTGGTAATTGGAGTGCCATCTGCCTCACAGACCGTCTCGCTGACACCTTGTTTCTTGCTGCCGGTGGCTCGTATGAGTTGGAACAGCTTCCGACTGTTGCCAGATGCAGCAGCTGACTCCATCTCACACGCACGTTCTGACCACCAGGCTTCGCGGTCCTTACGTAAACACTGTCTAATCTTGCGCGTGAGCGCCTTTCGCTGATTGTTGTATTCGCTGCCAGCCGGAATGGACCGGCGTTCATCCATGAGTTGCAAGGAACTCGCAGAAACCCAGTGGTTTTTAGCGGAGCATTTTTTCAAGCCGCAAGCGGCTACACTCGCCTTTTGCATGGCACCTTGCACATGAAGCCAATGTTCATCTATACTACTTCGGGGGTTGCTGGCAAGCATTGTTTTTAACTCATTCTGATATTTCAAAGAAGTAGCAGGTGCTACTAGTTTGCTCACATCAACGCTTAGACGACGGCTTTTACGAACCCCACCAAATCGCAAGACGAACTTGGCACACACTAACGCATGATCGGAGTCCAGGCATGTGCTCCAGAAGGAGCGACAGTCTTGTATGCATCCTCGCCACCGGAAACTGACAGCAATATGATCAATCTGAGAGAGGACGCCAGGTAGCGCCATGGTGATGGCTGTGCCGGAAGTTGGTGCTGGCTAGAAATAGGTTGTGATCCGCGCAAAGCTGCAGAAGACGGTCCCCATTATCTGACCTGCGACCATGTAGTCCCCATTGACCACCTAGACGATTCTCCTCTGAGCTTAGACGCCCGACTTGTGCATTCAAGTCCCCAGCCAGCACTACGATATCCCTCCGACCCGCCTGTTTCAAGAGATCGCTCAGTTGGTAGTAGAACTCATCCTTCATTGCATCCGGGCTGCAATCCGTCGGTGCATAGGCAGAGACAACAAATAGACACCGCCTATCTGGCCTACTACTCCTTACTTTCGTATAACCTTCCAGCCTCACAGCACATAAACGACTGTTAATGGGAAACCAGCCGAGCAATGCAGCTTCGGCTCTAGCGCTCAGTGGGACACCGACACCAGCTACGCCGGATATCGACGCCCCAGGGTTCCCGGATAAGCGCAGGTGGTACATACTACTAGAACTTCCAGATGGAGAGGATAGTCGAAGCACTTCACTGGGATCTTGAATGCGGGTCTCCGAAATACAGCAGACATCCATCGATGGCGAGGCTTTCCAAAGTTCTTACCAACCCTGCCTGTTCTCCGATTTGCATCAGCGTCCGAACATTGTAGGTGGCCAAGTTGAACGCGGCACGCGGTTTCAGGATATCTGTGTTAGATGTCACATTGGGGATAACCATTTTGAGGATTACTCACTAACATCTCGAAACGACACAGATAGGCTGGGAATCTAGACAAAGGAGAAAGGCTGACGAAGGTTAAGAAGTCAAGTTTAGCAAAGGTAAAATACAGGAAACTATGTAAAAAAATAAAAGTAAGGTAGGAAGGACACAATTTACTTGAGACATCAATGTTACTTGAAATCCTTGTTAATAGCGCGCGATGAGTTTCGATGGGAGTTTGTTGCTTTATTTCATTCATTGTGCGAGGGCTGAGATACTGCCCGAGCGCCCAGACTGAGTCAGGTGGTTTTATCAAGGGACCACCCTCCAAGCCTATGACTTGGAGTCTAATCTGCAAGGCAGCGGAGCAGCGTCAGGAGCTGCCTTCCCATGGTTGCCGTTGATCGATATGGGTTGATACGCCATTTGATCCGATTGGATACTGGAGACCATGTACCCCATGGTAACTGCTTTTAGTCTAACCGCTATCAAAACAACCTTCCTGACATGGTAGGACCTGTAGGGACATGAGTCCCAGTCAATTTAGCTTGTCGGGTTATTGCGGAATTCAAGCCCGACCACCAGGGCAAGGTAGCAGTTGTTTCCAATTAAATGTATGATACAGTATCTTACAGTTATAAGGCCAGCCTTTGTCTTTTGATGCTTACGTAGCTCAGTGAATCGGAAGATACAACGGAGAAAAAGACATATTAGAGTACCAATCGAGTTCATTACCGTTATAGTAAGTAACAGCCGCAGACGTAACAAAGTAGCGACAGGTCTATTCAG